ACGACTCCCGAACCTGAAACCACCACGACTCCCGAACCTGAAACCACCACGACTCCCAGACCTACCACATATCCTCCCCCCATCACCACTACTAAACGTCCGTGGTGGTGCTTCTGGTGTTGAGTCAACAGCTGAATAAAACATTATAATCGATTACAATCCATTATGTATACTAAAATATATTAAATATATTTCAAATAGGAAAAAATAAATGTTACATTGGATATAATTTTATTCCATTCCACGGGAAATCGACGACTAAATGGACCAACATCTTAAATTTTGTGCAAATAGGATGTTGGTCCGAATCGAATTTCTTAAAAATGAAAGAAAGTTTTTCTTAAGACTTCGCAACGGTTGTTAAGCCTGTCGATCTTTTCAGAATGTAAAATTATCCACAAAAATTATTTTTCATATCCTCGGCCAGAAATGAAACATATTTTGTGAAATAACATATAGGAAAAACTTCTATTATTTATGAGAAAGAAATTTCTAATATTCCGATATTCGAAATATCGATTATCAAATGAACGTTTCTCCGATACTCGCTATATTCAGATATAAGTTTCGAATAACTTTAATCATTTAGATTTTTAATAATTTTGTAATGTACAGTAATCGTTAAGATGAACATTTGTACAATTTGTAAAATTCATTTGTAAAAGCATTTGTATGCCGATTTACATTAAATGAAATACCAAAAAACATTTTTATACTGATTTTCATTTAAATGAAAAATAGTCGGTCATATCGACCCCGCCATTTCGCCGTGCTCGACACGACCGTGTCACCGACAGGCACTCCAATTTTTAAGATGACTTTATAACAAATGTAATTTTGCTCGTCTGTACAATCAAAAATATGAGTGTAGCGTAATTTCCTTTATACATTTCTATAGAGGAATACCTCCTCTACGAAATGCCAACGTCAACAATTCTAAATTACAACTTTCTTTTTTCCACTGTGCGATGTTCGGAGATTGCTCGAGTCGAGTGCAAGCTTCGCAGCGCGACGCTTTCATCGTCATCGCCACCGTAACGCGTACCGATGCACCGATACCCCGCCACCGAAATCTTATTTTTTGCTCACAATCAGTTCTAATCGACCAGCGTTGACACAACTATCGATCCCGCAATACAGAACCAAACGCTATGGAACAGGTAGGTAGGCACGTAGCTTCTTCAAAAGACCGCTTCGCACAACGCGTGTGACTAGTTTTCAGACAAGGTGTGATGTGACCGCTGTACCTGAATAATAAATGACGCGTCAGTCAGGCATTTGATACGTGAATATTTCAAATTAGCGTGTCACGAGTGGTCGTTAGAAGAAACTCACGGATCAAAGGAACGTCACAGTGACGTTGATCACACTGTATTACAATTCGTATGCAGGAACAGTTTGTCACGAAGAATCGAAAAATTGGTTTCACCACGATGCAGTCACCGTTCACGATGCAAGGAGAAACGTTTTCAGACATCTCGATCACGATATCCGCTTTCTACCTGAAGTTCGTTGGTATGTGGTTGGTAGAAAACGATGAGGATTTACTTCGGAGGAGGATCGCTATATGCTGTACTATTTTTTCGACTGTGCTCACTATGTCTTGCGAGGTCAGAGATTTGTATTTTTCCTGGGGCGACTTCAACGTGAGTATAAGCAATATCTATAATATATGCCACTTTATAGAATGTAACAATTCATTATCTAATTAACTATTGTCCGTTACCTGGAGTGACTTCAACGTAAATACGTCCTTTACGCATGTATTAAGGTCGATTCAGACTATACGACACGGACCGGCACCGACACGACAAAACATTCAAACACGCGTTTTAATGGAACTATTCACACTAAACAGACACCGACTTAAACGTTCCGTTAAAACGCGTATTTTAATGTTTTGTCGTATCGGTGCCGGTACTTGTCGTTGCCGGAACGTGTCGTATATTCTGAATCGATCTTTAAGTGTAGAAACTAATTTTGTGCCTTTACGTTCAATCATTTATAACTATAGTTTGAGTGAAAATATTTACTTGACATTTCGATGAGTTAAATTGCCAACCTTCTAACTTCTTAAATCTGATTTCTATTATAATGAATCTTGTTGAAAGTATACAGGGTGTCTCAAAACTCGCGTAGGAACCGGAGATGGGAGGTAACTGAGACGATTCCGAACAACAATTTCCTTTGCACAAATATCGGATGGTGCTTCGTTTTTCAATTATTAACGAAAAAAACACCGACCAATCACAGAAACACTAATCTAACGAACTAACATCACTGAAACACTAATATTTCTTATTAGTTTACGATAGTGTAAATGGATTACCTGTGATAGATCTAACGGTAATATAATTTATGATCTTTTCCAGAATGCTATTTACGTTGCCACTAACAATGTAAGTGTTGCACTGATACTGCTTAAGGTTTATGTCATCATGGCGAACAAAATAGAATTCAATGAATTGATTTTATTCATGAGAGAGCATTTCTGGAAAAATGATTATGACTGCTATGAGAAAAAGATCTTGGCCAATACCAGTAAGACATGTATTTCAATTATCGCTATGAATGTCTTTGGCGCGCACGCTATCGTTACGATTCAGTCTTCTACACCAATCTTTAGTAAGTTGCAATCAAATTTTTTTGATGATTTTTCATCTCCACTATTTGTAACTTTTCGCTCAGATAAATGAATTAGAACCATACCTTTAGTTGATTTTGCGAAATATAACAATATTTGAACCTTTATGAACTGGAACATGATTTGCAAGGACAATTTTATATAGCTTGTTAAATAAATTGTTCATCCGATTAAAGATTAAAGATAACAGCTATAAATATTTATTATTACTTAATAAACTTCAAGTATTAATAAAAAAATATATCATAAAATATTAAATATAAAGTAGGATTTGTTAAAACAGAATTAATTAAATTCATTTAAGGACACTACTCATTTTAAGTTCTTCGAATCTTTCAAACGGTATCTGCTCGGAGTCCAGGAAAATCGTTCTCCTTATGGCCCGTGTTGTTTAAAAAACAAAAAAGGCATATTTTTGTAGGGTGGGGTGCTTTATATCTTGATACAAATTGTTCGCCAAGTATACATAGCTAATTGTAAGGTCCATATTATTACCCACTGTAACGTTAGCATACATAACAGTAACTATTTAACAACGTGCATTTATACTACAGTCAATATGGGAAAAAATGAAACTGACAGAGTCCATCCATTCAACATGTGGCTTGGTCCTTTTTCAACGTCAACTCCCTACTATGAAATATTGTACATCTTCCAGGTACTCTTCGAGCTTTCGACACCAAATAATCCATTAATTAATATCGCACTTTCTTTGTACATTTCTGAAACAAATTTTTCCCACAGATAAAATGAATTAATCAACACTTGCACGTGACTGAATCAATATAAGTTAATAAATCGCTTCATGTATTCACAGGTGATAGTCTATTATCACATTGCCGTGTGTTTCTTTTGCTTCGACAACATTCTCTGCATTGTGAATATGCATGTCTCTGCTCAGTTTCGTATAGTTCAGTACAGACTGGTGAAACTGCATAACACAGAAGAGGAAATGAAGGATAGGAATGCGAATATAACTGTTGCCATGAATTCTTCTAAATCTTATGAAAAATTGAAGAGCTGCATTCGACATCACCAGAATCTTATTCGTTATTGCATGAAGATCGAGAAAGTGTTCACGTTAATTATGCTCGGAGAAATGACACTCATCAGTGGACTAATTTGTCTTTACGGGTACCAAGTATTTTTGGTTCGTATTAAGAATCTTCGGTGATTAATTCCTTTTAGAATATTAAGAATTTTGTGCCTTTTATCGTCGTTGTATTCGTGAAATTTCCCATCTCTCTGACGCAAAACCAAAATTTATTACGTAGACTTGACAAGTAAAAAATTAGGTCAAACTTTACATTGTGACAATTTCAAGAAATTTGACTTTTTTTCTATCCCTTTCTCGGTTTCAAATACACAGATGTTTAGCGGTAACGCCTCGGAGAAAAACTTCCTTGAACTCTCGGCATTCGCAGTATGTTTTCCGTCTAAATAACGTTCCAGAAATACTTTTATCTTTTACACGCAGGCAAAAACAAACGCGATGAGACGTTGGACGTTCGGCTTGCTCATGGTAGGCACAACGATGCTGCTACTGATGTTCATATACTCTTGCCATGGCCTGATAGAACAAAGTCACAATGTCGGAAATGCAGCATATTCGACGCCATGGACGCTTATGCCGATGAACAAACTTGGCAGAAATCTGCGAAACGATTTGATGATGGTTTCCGTGCGATCGAGACGTGTTTGTTGCTTGACAGCGAATGGATTCTTTCCAATATCGCTAGAAACTTACACCAAAGTAATCAGATAACATTCTTTTTGATTCGTTCTGTTATGGGGATTAGGCAACCATTTTTGGCGAAAATATACTTTCCTTTTCCGTTAGTTGCAAACAAACCGTGACCAAGTATTAAGCTTATGATCTTTTGGCATATCACTTTTAAGATACCAAGGTACTTTTTAAGCGAGAAAAGAATTTCGATTTTTCAAAATCCTACTGTGGCCTAACCCCCTAAATTGCTAATACTCTACTGTTAGGCATGCTTCTTGAATACGCTATTATCGTGTCTTTGTTTTAAAATCAAGAATAATATGTATTATCATAGAAACTTGAGTACATCGTTCGCTTCTTATAGATTATGAGTACCGCGGTATCATACTTTACGTTATTGAGAGGCCGGACAGAAGATATGTTGAAGGACTAACTACAATGTACGTAGAACACTTTATTAATATATTGTACAAAATACGTGTGTAAGTAAACGTGAAACTCCGTCGTCATTGTTCTTCATGGTTCGACACACGAGCAATTATAACTGAAGAAAGAGAGAGAAACAAAACAAACGTAGTTAATTTTTTTATTCACGTGAAGAAGTGCATTTACGGCCACCTCAGAAGGAGGGGAATACCCACTGAAACTACCGGTTAGCAATGTTGTTGACACTGTTCTTCTGTGCAGCTTGAATTTTCTTTTTCTTCTTTATAATCGTGTGCCTCAAAGAGTTAATGCTATTCACTCGCGCCAACGAATAATACAATCTCCGAAATACTTTTGTGGGGGTAGATGCCTGTGGAGGGAGAGCGAAAAACTTTAAATAAAATGGTAAAGCTCAGCAAGTTTTTAACCCACCCAACTTCAAAGAGTTACATGATGCCTACTTTAAAGGCGACAAAATAAATTTAAATGAGTGAACTAGTATTTGGTGTTTTATTAAATAATTCCCGGGATTCAGTTGACAGAACCCGTTACTTTCAAAGGACATGTCGAAAACTGTATCCCTTCTTTCTCCTGGTCGAGCTCTACATTGTTCATTGCCAGTGAGAACGAGCGCGTTGCAGTGCACGAGTATATGGTTCTAAGAAGATGGTAATTCAACGTCAGTCACATAGCTCTTATTCGCACAGAAAGTGTGATGAAGCCATGTCTGAATAATATACAACGTGTCGAGGGGACGATCTACTCGTCTTCCCTTTTCATTGCTACATAGCAGTCGTTCCGAACTTCTGCGTACCCTATCTCTTGCACAGACTATTACGCACAAATGGTGACATTGACTCCGCGATAATGCATTCTAAATGCATTCTAATGCATTAGCATAATAGCATTAGCATCTTATTGGCACTTTGAGTTCGAAAGAAATTAAACCTAAAGAAAATCTAGTAATGACTGAGAGTCACCTCTCGAGTGCAAAGGGTTAACGAACTCCGTAAGTAGAATTGGCGAGAAATGGTCAGATATTAACCAAAAGGATACATTATTTCCCTATCACTTTTATATTCCCTCTAAATCGGAACTTTTAGCCCTGATCTGTCCTACTTAATTCTCTATTTTGTTTTTGTTAAACAGATTTATTCATGGAAAAGTTTTGTGTCGAGGGAATAAATACAAACCGAATAACATATAATTAGGCAATTAATTTTTATTACATGAAAGACATAAAATACATTTGTATAAGTAGATGGAAAAGATTCCAGGTATGAGATAATTGAATACATTTAAATGAAACAAAGATAAGGTATCATTAAAGTAATCAATCAAATTTGAGAACACTCTTAGTACGTTTTAATTGGAGGTCCTCTATCTACGCTTTGTCCTAATTGAAATGGCGTGGAATAATTCATTAGTGACTAAAAGATATGTACTCCTTGGTATAATAATTCATACCAATTCAATTTATATCGTTTGGTTTCAATTAATATTATTTATGTAAAATATGTTGTATTTCCGTTGAAACTAAAATTAAAAGTTTCATTTGCAAAACATTGTCAACGATTACCTGTATGCAAATAATAAAATATATTACTAGCAATACATACAATATTTTTTGTACAGTATAAACCAGATTTTTATTATTGATAGTGAAATTTTATTCTGCGTACCGTTCAAACCAGCTTCAAACATAAGTGAGAAGAAATATTTCCCTTAGAATGACTGCACAGTTAAAAGCGTTCATAAAAATTGTCCTTTTTTTTTTTAAACTTCGAGCTCATTTTATTACTTCCATGTATTTAAAAGCAATTAACTATACTGATATTCTATCGCATTTAAATTAAAATGGCGTGTGAGTTGTGCATTTTAACTATCGACATTGTGAAGAATCAATTATTTCATCTCAATTTACTTGCAATTGTCTCAGAATTTACGTGGATTGCAATACCGTAAAGTAAGACACAGACACTTTTACAATCTGAAAATAAAATCAACATCATCGATGTGACTTAACTAACTACGAATGTTTGTTCAAATTCACGTTTTAAATAATAGTTTGATTCGTTTTTTAGGAATTTCAACCCTGCTAGCTCTTTAGGTTTATTTTAACGGTATTAGATATTATTATTTTAGGTTTATTTTAACGGTATTAAGTATTTGAAATACTTGGCAACAAGTTGTATTATTTATAGCGTATTAAGCGGTATACTATCTTTTGTGCGTAATTTGTGTTTCCTTTTCAAAGTTTCTGGATATAAATTGGATACATAGCCTAAATGAGTGCACGTACTTAAAATATACGACTGAAAGGATGTTACCTCTGCGAAACTTCTTAAATTCATCGGTACAATCCTACCAGTAAATTGAGGATATACCAAGCTTCTCCTTAACACCAGTATGTACAACGCTTGAGTTCTACATGAGCCATTATACCAAAAAGACTCACATCTGTAAGCATAATTGTAACCAGTTCAAACGACAACCGAGGTAACAAAAATCGGTTAATTAAGTAAAAGAAAAAGATGGGCTTTTGCTATGTATTTCCACTTAAACATTATAACATTTCGACTGTATATATACAATTATTTGCGGAGAACTAGAAATGGAAAAAACAACTTACATTTATGAAATGAGTGAATGGAAAACCGTAATACTCATTTGATGAATTACGACTTTGTTTTATTAGAATAATTGTAATATGAAAAATATCAAGAACAAATTTCATGACAATGAAATATTGGTGCCACAGTACATGGGATAGAGATTAGTAAAAATACTTTCGACACTCTTTATTACTTACATTGCATCGTGAATATCGTTGCCAGCGTTTGTCACGAATTGTCCCTGAATTGTTAGCACTAATAGATGAACCAGTTGAACAGAAAAAAACGCCAAATATTTTAAGTAATCCATACAATACTTCATTTTCGATATCTGGTATAATAATATTAATTATACGATGACCCGAGTAGCACTAAATATACTAAGTGTACTGTGCACCTTTAGTAACGTACCTTTAGCAACGTAATACTCAATGAGCCGATTATTAAGCACATTCCTAACAAAATTAATGTTGAGTAGATATTTTCAACGTCGTACAAATATCTGTTTGAAATATTTAATTATTAGTCACCGACCCGTATTGGTCAAAATTCAAAAACGTAAACTAAGAAATATATGTATCCAAGTCGAGAACAACTCTAACATGTACATGTTTCGAATTTCGAAAAATCCTTTGGTAGGACATTTTTAAACATTCTAAAGATTCCGAAAATACAAATTTTTAAAAATCGGTTTCTTTGAGCCGGTTAAACCAGAACAGTTTCTTCCGAAGAAGTTTTCTGTAATTTAGGAATAGAAGTATTTAACTAGTCTACTTTACAAATACAACACAATTGCAATGAAGCTAAAAATTTGAATTACTGTTGTACCGACGTTATAGCTCGTTTGTGTGCCTGAATCGAATAGCGTACATTTCGGTACGTATCATTGTCCACGTCCTTCTCTTTTTGAACGACAGTAGCCTGGATTGCATTCCGGAAACGGAAGCTGCGAACATTTACATTCGTTTCATTACTCGAAACATTCCATGTTAATGGCAAATAAATAATCCGTATACGAGTTGCTCCACACCAAATCTCGGCATTTGAAATATAACTCAAATCCAAATATGTTGTTATCCAAGTAGAAAAAGAATGGAATCTAAGTTATCCTTTTCATCTTTCGATTGTTCGAAAAATACAGACTCTTAAATTTTGGCAGCCATCATCGCTTTCCATGAAAATTGCATTCACAACAAATTTTCATTTATGCACACAGTAAACATTCAAATGTCGATTTTCTTTCTTTCTAATCGCAATATGTTATTCTTATTAACATATACAGTTACTCACATAATTGAGCGTACATCAATAACGGTAATGAAAAGCGACAAGAAAGTGAGTATAAGCACGAGCACACATATTTAACATTAAGGACGTAATATATATTTTATTCACGTATTGTAATAAATAATTCCTAAAAAAAATATGAAATAAAAGAAACTATTTATTTATATTCAATAACTAAAGGTAGAAATATAGCAGTCCTACTAACACAAAATTAAGTGTATAGAGATAAAAAGGTTGTAGGACGATAGAAGCATAGTGAAAAAAGAAAAATACAGGAAAAAAACTTTTTTAATATAAAGGCTATACTCGGAAAGAATACATCTCATAATCTTCATTATAATCATTAGAAACAGGGGATTTTTTCAAAATTATTTTTTAATTTATCAATAATGTACGCCATATTGAAAGAAATATAATAACCGATTTTTTACGAACTCATTCCTCCTTATTTTCAGATAGACTGCAACGTACATTAATTTGTAGAAAATCGAGTACAAAAGGGATCGATTTGATGTGGAACGATATGCGTATGAATATTTTACCCAGAAACTGCCAACAATCCACAAGCATGCTGTACGATATACATGTAGGTCGAATCGAAGGCGACGTTAAATATAAGAACTCCTGACACCGCAATAATCATATGCGCTACTATCAAGTAATAATATCTATGTTCGTCGACGAAGTAATATGCTGGAAACATGTATCCTATGCCTCGCGACACATTTAGCGGTGCGACGATGTCCAATACAAGCGGTACCAAAGGTATTTGAATAAATGTAATCGATGAAATTATACCATTCACTGCAAATAGAAAATTTCTATGTGATACAGATGTACGGAATGATGTTAAATTAACCCTTCGACGCGCGAGACGATTTTTGCTGGAAGTTCTAGTAGTACCTACATTATTTACGCAAATTAAAATAAAATTATAGTATATTATACCATTTGCACTCGAGGCGTTTTTTTCTGGTATCTATCAGCAACACGAGATGCTTTCTTAGCATCCTATTGTCACGAATCTATTGTCACTAAGCTCTAATTTAAGATTTGAAAATCAGGTCACCTTTGCCTCGACGATAATCATTTTATTGAAACTTCGAATTCCAAAGAAATTAAACCTAAAGGAAACCTAGCGGCGACTGAGAGTCACCTCTCGAGTGCAAAGGGTTAAAACTCTCATCCGTTGGATATAATTACGTTTTATCATTTCAATAAACAAGCTTACCTAAATAAATTGTCGTAATGAGCACCGCTCTCTCTCCGTACATGTTCATAATATCGTACTCGGCCTTCAATCCGCTTGTCTTCCAATCATCGAAAATGTCCGCCAGAATTACCTTCAACTATGAATTTTTTAGTTATATATACCGATATTGTTGATATGGCTGATAGCAATGAATATCACTTCACCCGTCCTTCGTTAACAATGTGATGGAACATTTTCAACAAAACTCCAATCGTAACACACAAAAATGGACATTGGTCAGCTACAGCCTCCGAACCTCCGGAAATGACAAGTTTCGCGATCTATATTAAAAATGATTACGGTAAATCCTGTTTACAATCATACAAACGAATTTTGATTACTAG